CTTTCACCATTCTTCTTGCCATCACAGGTTCTAGGCCAGCAAGGAACCGTTCTACTTTGACCATTTATGGGGGAAGAAGAACATCCTAATATCACGCAATCCTGTGAAGAAGAGTATCTTCATTTTCAGTGGTGGTTCTCTACTGTTGTTTGCTTCCCTTCTTTCAACAGCTTCTTTATTCAGTGTTAAACACGACAGACAATAGGAGGGGCACATTTTGCCTGAGCATTCATCTGCCCGTTTCCTTCAGCGAGAGGAAAAGCAAGGCAAAGAAGAAGAAACAGCATCCCATTTTTGCCTAAGCACACAGATGATAGGTAGGCTTTAGAAACTTAAATTTTTACAGCTTCCAACAAGAACGAGACTTGTTTTTACAACAGCGATGCTGGGTTTTAGACTGCTTTCCCTAAAGTGGAGATCTACCCTCTAGGATATCTAAAATCTGCTAAAGTGGCAACTGAGAGTCTGGAGAGGGCTGAGTACAGATCAGTTAAGAGGAATCTCCCGCCTTTAGTCATAAAAAGACAGTGTTAATGTGCAGGGCAGGGACTGTCCTTTGTTCCGTGCTTGTACTCTGCCTAGCACAGGGTGGTCTTAGCTCCTCAACACAAGGGTTTAAAGGCAGTAAAAAATTCCAGTCATCAATAAACAAGAGATATTGAGGCAGATAAATAAGTGACTGGAACTATTTGTTAAATAAACACGACAAAGGCTACCAGACTTAGCATCTACAGGACTTCCCATATGCTACAAAATAATTACGAGGGGCCAGGATTAAAATGTGAACAATTGAGAAACCTTCATGGGAATTCAAGACCGACCTCGATGTATTCTGGGGGAGAGAACAGCTCTGCAGTTCAGCTGCATCTCTCAATGAACACTGTTAAAAACTCCAAGAAAGGGAAATCAAGTTAATCAAATTTAAACCAGCTGACAAATATTCTTTGGATTACTCTTTTCCCAGCAAAAGAGTAAAAAGGGATGATGCCAGTAGCCTATTATCAATGTTAAAAACTTGAACCTAAGAAATAGCAAAAGAGGAATTTACTATGCCCAAATAAGCTAAGCATAAACCTTGCACCTCATTCATGGTTGGGACCATTTTTCAAATTAAACCTTCCGGTAAACTGTGAGAAATCCTCGATGACTGTAACAAGGTATACACAGTGCTATAGATGGAAAAAAAATTATCTTCTAACCTGCATTAGTATTTTCTCTCCTGTCAGTATAACCACAGACAACTCTAGTAGTCATGCAAACACATACTTAAGCCTGAGTATCTCCAGGAAATTGTTTCATAATGATAAATGAACAAAAGTCATGAAGAATAAAGTGTAATTCCAGCATGAGTCGGTTTTCCACATTACAGAATTAGTTTGGGAAGCATGCTGTAATGCCAAATTTGATCCATGCAAGCAAATCTCACAAGTTTGGGCCAACATCTGGCTTCTTATCTGAACTTTCCAAGCTGCTTCTCAGTTATACAAAACCAGCTTGGGTATTTTATGAGAACAAGCTCTCTCTCAAATTTTCCAATACTTTCTATCTTCAGGGATGCCAGAATTACCACAAGAATGTCTTTTTCCTGGCACTCTGAACTGAACTGATTCAGACGTTGCTGATAGGATACACTACAGGATTATTTATACTGGGAACGATGCTTTATTTAGGAGTAGAGGTTTTGCTACACCAAACCAACCCAGTGATTTGTTAAGTCCGATAACCTGCTGACAGCAGCCTTTGCCTAGTCCTCCAGAGCAAAAATTAAAATAAATTAAGAAACCCCCAACAAATCAAGAAAAAATAAAACCCACACCACAAAACACAGCAAAACAAACAAAACCATGACCACAGAGTCCTGGTAACCACCAGTGGAGCAGCCAGGAGTAAATCTCAAGACTCTCTGTACGTACTTTAGAGTGTAACTGATCCTATAAACCCAAGTGATCGCTAAGAACTACTGCAGACAACAGCGGGTATTCCTCCTCCAGCGACAACTGGATGGGAAGTTAATTTACTTGTTGGAATCAGTGAAAACTGCCCAATTCAATCGGTCTGCTGGTATTTCTCTAGACCAGGATATGAGTAGCTAATCAAAGGAAAAAGAAGTGGCCCTCCACTCTTCCTGGAGAGAACCGTAACAGAACATTTTACAAAAAGAAAAATTAATATAGCGGTGAAAGGGAAACCAGCAGTACTGGCTGACAGAGGGGCTGGATGAGCACATCCAAGTTGGGTTAATGCACCTTCTGGAAGAATGCTTAACTTCCCTCATCTTTCTGATTTCCTTTGCAATCAAGGCAACACAATTTCACAGTTTAGTTTCTTCTGACTTTCCACTTCAAATGGACAACGCAGGAAGCAAAAACCTGGTACCAAGTCAGCAGATGAGGAGATTTTACAACTCAAGTTACACTCAATTAAAGGAAAGTCATCCCTAAGCCAGCACTGCAACTGTTTGTCAGTGTTTTCCCTGCCTGACCTCCAATAAACCATTCACACTGAAGACAAACTGTCTCAAATTTTTAACGCAGCCGCTATGAATCAGGATAAAAATATTCCTCCCTATCTAGCAACAACACACCATCTCTGAGAACTTATAACTCCACCTGTTCTGCAGTAGGAACATGTCTAATTTATATAAACTCTGGTTTATTCTGGGATGCAAGAAATCCAGTGGAGGGAAGACTGTATGTTAAGACACCAAAGCACACGGGAGAGGTACGTTATCATATGATTGTACATCACAGTACTGAGTGAGTAATCGGATTTTTCATGAACTGACCCACCTCGTACCTGAAGACACACCTGGAGCACTATCCCTAGTACACAGCAACACCATAGAACTAATGAAGTTCAAAATTGCAACCTCTTTATATTCTTGGAACCACATTCTAAAAAAAATACCTTAATCCTGAAGAAACTGATTAAATCCAAGCAAACATAAGACCTCGGACTGAAGAACTGCTGGAGCTGATCCAAAGCAGCAGCCTCTCCCCCGACCGTGGCGCGTTTTGGATCAGGGCCCTGGGCCCTTCGAAGCGGTCTGTGCATCACCTACAACTCCAGCAGAGCTACGCAGCCCTCGGAACCTGCTCTTGGCATTTCAGCAAGTACACCAGGGTGTGTCTATCGCAGGACTCAGCAAGGGGAGAGGTAACTGCTGTCCAAGAATTTTTTTTTTTTTCTTTCCCTGATAATGGCTGGAATTTAAAAGCAGGAAAACACCCCAAGCCTGTTGCTTTCTAGCTTTTCTTCAAGAGGAGGATTCAACACGGGTCCAAGGACACAGATTAACAGTCAGTGTAAACCAAGCAATGTTTCTAGCCAAGCTGCTGCGCTCGCCACAAGAAAGTGTCTTCCATCACCTCCCTCCTCCCACCCTTCCTCGCTGCCTGGTCAGAAAGGCACACGAGATGCTGCAGCGTTTGTTTTACAGTGCGTCAGCTGCCAGCAAGGTAAGTGTTCATGTATTTCCTGGAACACAGGTTAAAAAGATGGAATAAGATCTACTAATTCACACAGTCCATCTCCCTCCTCACAGGCATCTAATCCAAGCCCCAGAGAACAGCGCTGTCCCCTCCTGCAGACCACAGAGAGGAGCTGAGAAGCCAACTCCCAGCAGAGGAGTTGTCCTGCTTAACTACAGAGCCTTGCTCCTAAAACCTCCACCCTAATCCCCAGGCACGGGTCAGCCAGGGGAGATGTGACCCTGAACTGCCAGCCCTGCAGAACACTTTCCAGGGCTCTCTCGGAGCTTTACAAAACCCCAACCAACAAGGCTACCAGCATTTTTTCACAGAAGATTATTTAGGTTTGTTCCATCAAGAAGCTTTTCTTGTTCAAGTTACCTTCTCTTTTGCAGCCCGTTGAGTCTAGTTGCACCCTCTTGCAAAGGCCGAGTGATACTCACACCTGAAATTGTTGGTATCTTTGCTTCTTAACCTATCTCTAGTAAATCTCTAGTTTTTACTCATTCCTCATAAATCAGCCCCCTTGCTCTCCTCATCAGCTCTTTCCCTTCCCTCTCAAGCTTTCCAAAGGCAGGTGTCCTATAGTTAAGCCAGGGAGCCAGACACATCCCCACTGTGGACGTAAAGCCCGTTACTCCTCCGTTCATCACCGGGGTGTGGGGGACAGCTGAGCTGCCTTGTGCTCCTGCCTCACTGCAGCAGCCATGGCCCTTGATTTGTTTCAGCCCCGTGACTTTGTGGGTGCTCCTTCACACACGTTAACCTATCGTCCATTTTATTTTCCTGTTTCCATCCCTCAGCCTCCTCGGATTGTTCTGCACCCTCGGGCTGTCTGAAGATGGACAGTTCATTGCCAATAACTGCAGACACCCAAGAGGGAAAAACCCACCCAGCTCTTCTGATGCCTTTCACGTTCCTTCCTCGGTTGTCATCATCCTGGCTTCTACATCACTCCATCATGGAGCATAAATACATTTAATTCTTGTACGGGAGATGCATCACCAAGTTCCCCAGAAGAGCAGCTGCTTCGCCTGCTCGCACACGCAGCACGGAGGGGACCTCCCTGGTGACACCCAATATCTTTCAGATCAAAACTGCGCCCCGAACCACCCCTCAGCCCCTCCCAGCAGATTGAATTTCAGCCTGAGCGACACAAAGGAGTATATTGTGGCTAGCTGATGGGCAGGAAGGGACTTGGGGTTTACAGTTCCTGTGAGTCTTCCAGCAGTCACAGCGTAATGTGACAGAAAGTAAACATCTTTCAAGAGAAAACAGCTCAGAATACAACTGATGCCCCATTTTTTTCCTGCACCTGTCTTTGTTTCAGAGCCACAATCGTTACAAGAAACAATCTCCAAGTCGATTGTCCGAGCAAGGGAATGCCCAGCACCGTTCTGTAGCGTTTTCCCAGTTAGCTGTCAGGTTTCGTTTAGCATTCTGCACCGGCTCTACGGTTTGGCTCACCCGGAAATTTTAAATGCAAATGTATTTGCGGGGTGGCATGAGAGAACAATATCAGAATTTTACCTCACACCACAGCTCCTCGCTTGGCTTCGCTCGACTCCCTTTTCCTCCCTCCCATATACCCAAATTTTGCAGCTACTAAAAAAAAAAAAAAAAAAAGGCTTAAACAAGAAAATTTTGTACCTATTCTTTTCTCCGACTGAAAGACTTTCTCTGGCCCTTCTGCTTAAACAGACCTAAACCAGAGTTGAAACGATGCTTTAAAATCGCCTACGACTCCACTCGAGACGCAGAGCAGGCAAGCAATTTCTTTAATAGCAGGGAATAACAGCACTTAATTCACATCATCCCCACACCATATTTTCCATCTTTCAAGGGCTAGATATGCACTAGCTAATTAGTCACTGTTTTCTCCACACCCCAAACTCGCCAGCCTTACCCTAAGAAACCGAGGGGAAAGCAAACGTCACGGAGAGGACGTGCTTCTGGACGAGTATTTGTCATTTTCTTCTCTTCTTTGTGCTCAGTGTCAACGAGTCCCAGGCCACAGATGTAGGCAGATAATTACCAGCTCTCATAATTCAACAGCTCCTTGAGAGGCTGTGGCCAGGACTATCGGAGAGGCAAATTCTTCACTGACCTTAATATGAAGGCATTTGTCTAGCAGTGATGCTGAAACACTTCAAACACTGTTAAATAATCAGAAACAGACCTGATCGTTTTCTTTCTGGTGCAAGGATGCTCTTGCCCACGCGTGGGACCAACCACTCGTGCAGATCGAGGCACGACCTGAATACAGCTCAGCAGTCTGCGCTGAGCTACACGAGACCAGAAGTTCTAGAAATCACAGCGCAATTATTACGCAGTAAAAAAAAGCTCCCATTTTCCCTTTAAAGAACAGCTTTTTGGCTTGCATTCGTGGTTTATTAGCACACACACATGCAAGAGGGATACTTTAAAGGAAAATGAAGAAGTAGGCCAGAAGGTCAGTGGATACAAATGGTCAGAGCCTCCAGCTCTGGACCAGTCTACCTTCTTGCAGTTAATATCCATTACAATATTTAACTCTATTGTTGAAACAGGAAACACTATTTTTAGCCATTACCTATTATTTTTGCTCAAAGATTAAGTGCCACTTCCAGTTCTATTACCCATTTTGCATTTTATCTTGTGTATTTATGGAGCTGTTCATTAATCCCCGCTGGCTTTTACATTAGCAAAAAAAAATAATTTACTGGCTTTCTTTATTGTGGCTACATTTTACAGCTATAATTTTATCTGTCATAAAAATTAAAAGGACATGCCTCTAGAATGGAAATAAGGGGAGGTACGTCTGTAACCCAAGGCTCAGACTTTCTGCACTGCTCCAGGCTTCATTTTCTTAAGTGCTGAAGACTCAGAATTTGATTTATAAAGATACATTTCCCTCGAGGTCCCCCAAAGAGCTATGGATACAAAAGTTTGTGAACTGAAAAGACAGACACAAAAATCTAGCCATTTACTCTAGAGCCTAAGCACAAGCCTAAGAGCGTTCAAAATCTGGCTCTGTCTCGGGTGAGGAGTACTTCTGGAAATTCCTCTTACACTGTTTTGCAGTGCCTTTCTTACTGCGTATCCACTGGGAACGTGTCTTAATTCCATATTCCTTCCAGAGTCTTCCCCTAATTGGGTTATTGATGAGAAAAAGAAAGATGGAGCATTAAGTCATGTGATCAGCGGTGTATCCCTGTCAATACCTGCTTTGTAGTAAGTCCCCTATTAACAGCCCACCACAGAGAAACTCAAGTTACATTCAGGATTCACCTGACTCCCAGAAGTAAGTTTTAGATGCACACTGTGCTTTGGTTCTGGGAGAAGTTAGGAACAAAGAGCAGTTTTGCGAAGCAGCACCACAGCTCTACATCCAACCACGCACTAGATGCCAAGCATGTCCATTATCCTATCGCTGGCCTACACTGAACTACTTCTTTTATTCCAATCATAAGAAAGCTGCCTAACTATCGCCTCACAGTCTTTGTTTTCCTAAAAGCTAATAGGCATGTCAGACAGAAGCAAAGCACCTCTTTTACATGAAGCATCAAAATTTAGCTTTAGACCTATGTTTCCGTTATTAATCAACATGCTGGTAAACACAAAAGCTGATTGTTTCCTCTAATTTAAAATGAAACGCTTAAAAGTACGCTGGCTGGAAACGATGAACACCAGAAAACCTAAATCATTTCCTTGATCCTTTTTCTAAGGCTGTCTCTCATGTTGCTTCCACAATATTAAAACGCTGGCGTAGAGCCAACTTAATGTATTCTTGAGGAAAACGAAGACACCGGACCCTCACCAACGATCCCTTACGAGCTGCCAAAATTAACAGCGACTGCACACACGCACACAAATTAAAATGGACAAGCCCACCTTCTGCAAAAGCCATCAGAGATTGTACACATCTGGGTGGAAACGTGCAAAATCATTCTGCAAAAAAATATCTTACTCATGCACGCAGATCTTACTTGCGTGAATAGGGCTCAGAGCAGTCAACCCCCAGGAATCCCGTTTGGAGTCAACTCCAGTTACCTGGCAGAGCTATTTCAGACTGTAAGAAAAAAAAAAAAATATAAAAAGGGGGATGAGCGTCCGCACCAACACTGATTTAATATTCACCTAATGTGCAAAAACTGCGAGCCCGAGGTCTGCAATGAACCGAAATCGGCTAAACGGCCCCGGGGGCCGCCTTCGCCCGCACTTCCCAGGGATGAACAAAGCCGGGAGCCCCCCCTCGGACCCCGGGGCCGCCCCCCTGCCAGGCGGACGCGGACACGGACCCTGTCCGCCCACCGCGGAGGGAAGGGGGTGCCGAGGGCTGCTCCGGCGGCTCTGGGGGGATTTGGGGGTTCGGAGGTCTCGTTTTCCTCCCTGGCCCCGCCCCGCCC